TTGTTTACCTGCAGTTGTGGTCCACCTACACTTTTTCACGTGACTCGCCCCTTAGCATATACTTATCACGCGCTTGACCTCCTACAATCCCTATTGGATATTCCATTGTTTGTATTTACCTGCCACATTTCGAGCATCTACAATGCTTTGTGTTTCTTAAAAAAAAAATATATATGATACGTAGAAAATAGACTAAGTCTATAAAAAAATGTATTCCAATGCAATAAAAAGTAGACTTGGTCTAACTTACGTGGCTCTAGAAAAAAAGAGACCAAGTTCACCCTTGAGTCTATTTTTGACTCAAGTACAAAACTGTCTAGTCATTAATTGTTCATAATTTTTTTTCTCTTTTAATAGGTAAAACATATTCTTTTGTATGCATTTATTGTTATGATATTTTTATTGATTGTTGGGTATACTAGACATAATAATATTTTTTTTTTGCATTGGATAGGTTTTGGATTTTTTAGCTTGAGTTTGTCCATGTCATTATGGACTTAAGTATATTTATTCTCCACATATGCAAAAAGAGACTCAAAACATTGTGAGTGCTTAGAGAACTCATTAATCTAATCATTATTGTAAAAATTGAAAAGTGCAATGCATAAATATAGATAGGATGGAAATAGACATGACACGTCCATGGGCTGACCCCGCTCGTGAACTAGCCCTAACTCGGCCTGAACCGGCCTCCTAAGGGTCGGTTCGTTAAACCGGATCTTCAGAGTCGCGGTTCGATCCCGATTCACAATTTTTTTTGACCCGTCGGTTTAGGTCGACGGGTCACAGATAAAACGGCAGGCCACGATATTATTTTTTTTAAGTCTAGTACCTGCCCGTGACTCGCTGGGTCAGTGAACCGACGATTCAGGACCGGTCCAGAGCCATGTTATTGAGGCCCACCGACCCAATGGGCCGGGCCGAGCCGCGGGTCGGGTCGCAGCCCCGACAGTTGGCCACATCTAGATGGAAAGAGCCATTATAAAATTGTGTGTTATTCACTTATTCCTTCTCGAAGTTACCGCAGCTAAAAGAGGTAAATAAGGAATTACGGCGTCGCAGTCAAATCACGTCCGATGGTTAAAACTGGAAATTCCACACTTCCGTTGTAATTTCAGTGTCGTCCCCATCATCTCTCTCTTCCCACCATACAGACAACATTTTCTCTCTCTACCTTCGATCGCACAGAGATAAAAAAACCTCCGCGCACTCAATAACTCCGCAGGGAAAGGGACGAAGATAAAAAAGATTTGTAGCTGTGTCTCTACCTCCGTGAAATCGGGTAGAATCTTGTAATCCCAAACCCTAGTTTTTTTTTTTTTTTTTTTTTTTTTTTGTGTGTGCGTATGTTTGATTCAATCGAGCAGTTTGAAAATCTTTCTGGAAGTATTCGAAAATCTCTGATTGATTATTGCTCTTCTGTATGGGAAAGGATGAGAATTGAGAACCCTTTTATTGCTTTTTTTGTGGAATGATTGTGTTAAATGTGAAATTTAGGTGTTGATTTTGACTTATATGTGTTCTCCGTTTTCTAATCACCTGGGCTG